AGTGAACATTCGACTGGATAGATACATGCTTTACCGTACAAAAATATATTGTTGTTTTTTTTAATCGGTTTAGTTTCTACAAGGTATTAAATCATAGTTTTTAAAGTTCACTAGTTCATTTATACAATGAAAAGTGTGCGTTACCGAGAGTTTTCATGTTGTCATTGTGTTTTACAAATTATACAGACACGCACTCATTAAAACAGTGCGGTTTGACAAGATAGTTTGTGCTTCTAGCATGTGATGTACTGATGTGAATCCTGCGGACAACTAGTTGGGTCCAATCAAGAGATCGACATTTGTTTGAACTGAGGGGAGAAGGTTGTTGTTTTTTAAATTGGTTAGATTAATCCCCCAATATGTGCAGCATGCGCATCGTGATAAACTAGCCAGTCCGCGCCTGTTTCTATTTAAAAATGGATGACATGACACAGTCTGAAACTATTTCACCGTCGAGCGTGGAAAGCACTGATGGCAACAGTATCAACTCTGACGATACTGACAAACATTATGCTGGGGTGTCTACGCATAGTCTTAGCAACGACAACGATAACGGCAGTCGTCCAAGCAGTTTCAACAAAGTTGATTTTGATATGTCGTGTGCGTGTAGGGATGATAACAGCAGTGTAGACAGAAATAACAAAATCGACAAAGATGATGTCGGAATGTGTATATGCAGTCATAGCAAAGACGACAACACTGACAATAGCTCTTCGAGCAGCATCAGCAAAAGTGGTGTTGAAATGTGTATGTCTAGCGATGATAATGGCAAACAAGTAGAAGTTGGTATTTGTTCACATCAGGGGGATGTCCACATTTGTACAAGTAAGGATAGCAACGATAACAACGATAGCAAAAATGCTAACATCAGCAGCCAAATCAAGAACGATGGTTTCGTTGATCAAGTAGTTCTGCCCAATTGGCCATCTTCTGAAGCCACCCCAACATTGGCAAAGCAAAACCCCGAGGCTGCTCGGCCCTGTCTCAATGACTTCCATAGCGCTTCTGGTGTAAAAGTGACTCTCAACAATGAGGATCTTTCAAACGAAAAGGTGGATAACGTTGAGGTTGAAGTGGCGATGGAAACGGTGAAAAAAGTATCCAATGAAAAGACAAACCCAATGGCGAACGGAATGGAGGATAAAATTGTGGCCGAAAAAGTGGGTGTAATTCCGAATAATATGGCGAATGAGCTAAAGGGTGAAATGCTGAATGAGCCAGCAGATGAAAAGTCAGACAAGCTAGAAGATGAAATGGCGGAGAAACTATTGTATGAAATGGTGGATGAGCTAGTTGGTGAAAATGCGGATGAAAAGGTTGATAAGCTTGCGAAAGAAATAGCAGATAAGTTAGCAGATGAAATGGCGGATAAATTAGCTGATGAAAATGCTAATAAGTTAGCAGATGAAATGGCGGATAATTTAGCTGATGAAAGTGCAGATAAAGTGCAGATAAGTTAGCAGACGAAATGGCTGATGAAAGTGCAGATAAGTTAGCAGACGAAATGGCGGATAATTTAGCTGATGAAAGTGCAGATAAGTTAGCAGATGAAATGGTGGATAACTTAATTGATGATATGACGAATAAAACTGGGGATAAAAAGACTGACACGTCAAAGAGTACAAAGACGGAAAAACTCTTTGCCGAGTTCATGTCCAGACAAGACAGATGTGCTGGTCAAGACAGCGGCAGTGTCCAGGGCATGAGGAAAGTACAGAGCAACTTAAACCCTTCCACAGCAACCCAAACTGGTCCAGCAAACTCCACTGCTGTTCGTCGTATCTGCAGGTGAGTTGTTTTCGGCTTATTTTTTTTTTGTTTGCTGTAGTTTTTTCCATGCCCCCATCGAAACCATTTAGATAATTTAGCAGACGGGGATCCGACTTTGCCTGTCAATGCCAACCCTGGTTGAGAGGGATACAATTTCTCAGCAAAGAGACCAAGATACTTGATAAAATTTTCCTTCCCACTCGGGAACAGAACTCGGGTCTTCTGCATGCGACAGCGAAGCGTTTAACCGCTGCACCACAGACGCTGGTGTTTTCAGCTTGTATTTGCTTAGCTTTTGAGGCACTTTCAACTCAGTTTAAAATGTTGGATTTTCAGAATGTAACCTCCACCTCTAACCCCCCTGTGTCCCTTAGTGTATATTTGAATCTTTAAGTCTTAATTCCTGTAAGACTTTTAATGTTGATGTTGATGTTGTTGTGTTTTCTTCCTATTGTGTTTGAATGGGATCCCAAACATATCAAAGCATTAATTGACTACAAATGTTTTATTTATATTCTCTTCATAAAAATAGTGTTGAGTGATATAATTATCATGTCAACAATTCATACTATACATACGGGCAGTTGGGGGTTAATGCGTTTTTCAAAATGTGTATGTTTTAGCCCCTGTGTTTCATAAACTCAATGTAACTCCCGTTTGCTGTAATGCACATGACTTCAATCAAATGTTTCTACGTTCTTTTAATGTAGATACATATACGCCCCCATTGGCACAATTTAGATAATTCAGGAGGCCTGTTTCGACCCCGCCTGCGAGGACCAACCCGGGCCGAAAGGGATACAATGTCCCCGTAGAAAGACCGAGATATGAAAGGGATACAATGTCCCCGTAGAAAAACCGAGATATTCGATAAAAGCTCTCCCCACAAGTAAATCGATCTCGGGTATGGAGAGAAACATATCGACTGGATAACAGTCGTTTAGTTTTGGTAAAGAAAGCAGGATAAACAGTGTGTGTGTGTTTTGGTAAAGAAAGCAGGATAAAC